CGGGCCGCGGGCTCCGGTGGCAGGAGGAGGTGGGCAAAGGGCTGCCCCGGGCCGGCCCCAGCACCGCGGGGAGCGCGTCCCGCGGAGTGACCGTAGGCAAACGCAGAAAATCAGACAGGAAAAACCCAGAGGGCCCGCGTTTCTCCTTTTTCACACCTGCAGGCCTACCGACAGAGAAAACACGCTTTCCTTAACGTGCGAGCTTTAGCGAACCCAGGGCAGATTTTCTGAACATCACCCACCCAGCGCATCACACTCCACAGCGCTCAGCTTCGTTTCTCCTCCATTATTAAAAAAAATTAAAAATTGAATTAAAGAATGAAGTCAATACATGCATACGTATGCGTAGCTGGAAGCAACACTTTTCTCAGGTAAAGCCAGAGTCCTTTGAAAAAAGCCCAGGCATCAGGTTGGCAGCGCTAGTCAGGAACCACAGAGAGCAGAGCCAAGCAGGCGGGATGGCAGGTTCACACGCGTGCTCCCTCTCTCCATGCACCGCTCTTGAGGGCAGTCCCACCGGCGTAAGTCAGCTCTTCCACCAAAGACAAACCTCTCTAACGAGAGGAGAACAAAAGCCTCCCACGCACACAAAACTAAACCACACATCCAGATACTGGCATTAACTCCTCTTACAGCCAACACACGCTGGTAACGAGAGAGGCAGACAGCAAAGCAGGCAATTATACAAAAGAATTTATTCCAAAAGTTGTGACAAAAATATCTCAGGTTTTAAAAAGATGCGTGTTAGAAACATTTGGTATGATCATACATCCATTTGCAGTGTCAGGCTCAGGGGCTGGGGGAGCGATTCCCGCAGAGGAGGGCTCCCCGCCGGAGCCTGCACGCCGGGGCTGGTGCTCTTCTCCAGCCCAGACCAAGCTTGGTCACTCTCCTCCCTTCACAAGAACCCAAGAAGGGACCCAAACCCAAGCACAGCTCTTGAAGTGGTTACAGCGGTCATTCAGACAAACCGTTTTTCAGAGATCCTGAGTATGTGCAACTACAGTTCAAGTTAATGGAATTAACTAATTAATTAATTAAGCCTATGCTTAATTTCATGTTAGCAAAATTTGGCTTGCGTATTTAGGCACTTCCAGAATGCCTTCTGAACCAAGCAGCCTTGCTGAAAAGCATTTTTACCACCCTGACAGTCTATAACCTTAGAAATATACAAGAAAAAGAAGGATTTTTATCCACACTAGCCAGAAGGCCACCTCTTTATCAAATGTGAGCTACTCACACACTAGGTATGGGGTGCTGGTGGACATGGCAGTTTATCTGAGTCTACTTCTAAAACCACAGTAAACACTAAAAAATATTTTGAGACTACGTTGAGGTCCTGCAGATGGCTCGTCTCCACAGAAGGAGAACACAATTTAGGAGTACTACCTGGGCTTGAATTTGGATGGAATTACACAGCTATAGCACTACATGTGAGCCAAAATAATTTAAAGCCTTAAATACGAACTTACCCTTTGATATACTGAAAACATCTCATCACTTTAAAGCGTAGTACTGCAGAACACAACTGTACACTTTTCCAAATGAAGAGTTTGTCTGCCTAGTAATTTTACAGTGATTATAGGCCAACTTCATAAAAAAGTAAATTACAACTCAAGAGTAGAGTAACAGAGGAACAGAGCACGTTACATTGTGTCAAGAAATGAGAACCTTCCCATGCTGAAATAGTTTAAAATGCATTTGGACTCTAAACAGTTTGAAATGTAAACCTGTTTAAATGCTTGGCAGAGTAGGCATCTGAAGTGCAACATTCCCAAGAGTCCTTCATGCGTGGATACTTTCTTGCTACAGGACTCCTCCTCTCCGTACCTACCGGCACAAAACATAGAAGCTTTGCTCCTTAACAGTGTTATACAATAACATTTTCTTACAGCCCACATGACGCTGTTACAGCAGTTTACATTCCTTTTCCAGTACTAATGAGAATTTCTATTTAAAGTGCATCTCAAATCAGAAATCTCTTAACTATTAATCCATGAATAATACGCTAAGACTAGTGGAAGTATATTTGCTAACTCAAATCACTGTGACACCAAGTGCCTTTTGATTTACTGGTAGGACAAAGCTCAGACAATCAAGAGACTCGTGGCAAAAATGAATAGGTAGAGATTTGACCAGATTTGTGGGATGGGGGTTTTGGGGGTTTGTTTGTTTGGTTTTTTTGCTTTGCTTTGCAAATGGAGCTGCACACACATACCCAGAGGGCAGAATTCATCCTACAGAGAAACATTTAATTGGCAAATGAGTTTAAGGTATTGGGTAAGTAAGCTCAAGCTTTTTGTTCAGAAAGTTGGGTTTTTTCCAACACTCAATACTTCTCCTAACCATCTTTCACAATTCACCTGTCCCAGAAGCATTAAGAAAAGCAGATTTGTCAGTTTCTGCAGGAAGAAAAAAATCCCTGGTATAATACTACGGTCCTTTGGAAAAAGCCCCCTAAAGAACATAAAACCAAGCAGCTCCACAGTCACCTAATTACAAAAAAATTACTCCTTAAAACCAGTAAATAGCATAGATTGTTTCCTCTGATTTTGCCAGTTAACAGTCTGAAAACATTTCTTAACCTTTACAAGACATCACATACAGTTTCAGTAGCACTGGGATAAACAGACAAAAGTCGCTGCGTTCACTGTGGTTGAAGACAACGTGACCTTAAAGGCAAAAAGCAATTGTCACTAGAGCTGGTACACGGCTCCTGCTGCTCGGACTGGAGCTCGGGGGGGAGCGGGGGTGCGCCGGGGTCCCCAGGCCCTGGGAGGGTGCCTGAGAAAACCACGCTCTCTGCATTTCCCAGCTCTGCAACCGGCAAATTCATGGAGTGAAGGGAGACAGCAGACACAAACGCGGCAGTGCTACAGTCTTCTTCTGGATGCTGTACCGGGGTAGATTCTTTGTCTTTTGTTTTAATTGTTTTATCAAAAAAATTAGACTCATCAGAATATGATCTAGAAAGATCATTCGTTCCTCCATACAGTGAGGTCATACAGGTGCTGCAGCTTAGACCTAAAAGACAAAACCCAGAGATCTGATTTAATTACAACATGGTGCACTCTTAAAACTGTGCTCTGATTTAGTCTCATAAGATTGTCGAAGACCAATTGTCTGTATTTTTAACTGACTAACCTCTTCATCCCACCTGTGACATCCCAATATTTATGATAAAGAAACACATGCAGGTTATCTAGACTGATGAGAATGATTTCTCTGTATCTCTGCATCAGCTACTCTCTCACAAGGATGCACCATAATTTAAGCTCCATTTTAAGAAGTCCCTTTAGCCCTTTGACCCATCTTTTGACAGATTTTTCTCAGTGTTCTTCAAGCTTTTAAAAACTTCAGCTACATGGTTCCACCCAAAGTGGACTGCATTTGAAAGCTGGGTTACCTGAAGCCAGAGAAAACTTCAGACCTTTCAACTCCAGCGTTAAAATGTACTTCTTCATTTCTCTTTCGATGGGTGTGGAAGGGGAAGTAAGGTTTTTGGTTTAGAAGGCTTATACTTTCCTGAGATACCTTAAATTATGAGTCTATACAGTCACGCACAAGCTTTGTGTGCCAATAAAACCTCTCTGCTTGTACGAAACAACACCTGCACACATTTAGTGTCTAACTTGAAGATTCTGCGTTGAAGGAACACAGGGAAAGTCCCTTCAGGTTGCATTCGCTGGCGTATCTCCTGCTGAGGTGCAAAGTGTAACAAAACCAGAGCATCCTGCCAGCGCAGTAGATAGCTTCAAGAGAAATACAAGATGGAAGATAACCACCTCTTCTGAGCTCTGAGTGAGAACCTCAGGGAAAGCAAAACTGAAACGCAAAGACAGACTTATCCATCATAACACCGCAATATCTTTTTCTGCAGTTGGTCACTTATGAAACGTTCAGATACTCCAAAGGCAAATTCAGGATACATGCAGCAGGATCCCAAACCCCAAATGGTGATACCACATTTCCAAGAAAAAAAATTAAACCCAAAATGGTGATACCACATTTCCAAGAAAAAAAAAAACAACCACCAACAACAAAAAATCAATCTGTGCTAAGAAACATGATTTAAAGAACTGTTAATTTAATTTTGCAAATCCTCAAAATAAAGCTTATGTCATACAAGACATTATCATAAACTTCTCACCTTTGAGAGCTTCAAGTTTTTCATTTTTTACTTTCAACACTACATCGGTTATCTTTTGTAACAGGAAATTTTGTGTTCTTTCTCGTCTGATAGATTCAATCAAAGCATCTAGTCCCTTTGGATTTTCTGCTAAGTAGTCCAATAACTTCCCAGTTCTTTTCCTGCTGGAAGATCGAGAAGAAATTTCTTCTGCATCCTCTCTAGTAAGTATTTTCTTTGAACGTAGGTAATCAAAGTGTCTCTCCGCTATGATTTTATCACACAGGTAGGGACGCATCCTTTCTAATGCCTGAAAAACAAAACAAACTAGCATTAGCCAACCTTTCTGTTTAATGAGAAGCCTATATTTGAAACTGGTATGATTTTGATAGAGGCTAATGAAACAATTTTTAAAGTTACTCAGCAGAGATTTTTCTCAGTGTAAACTTTTTATTTCTTTTAAAACAATATGTTCTCTAATCTACTTATCCCTTTCATTAGTTATCTTTGAGTGAAATCAGAAGTTTTAATGCATGTTAAGTAATAATGTGAACTCTTACCGAAAATGATGATTACCTCAAGTCTGTGGTTACCACATTTCAGAACAGTCACCAAGTAAATATGAAAAGAAGTTACACCAACAAAACACAACTGCACCTACTCAGGCTGTCCACAGGCACTCATTTTCACTGACTACCAACTGCCACATTTCCACACTCTTTGTATCCATGAGGCACAACTCCAAAGAACTGCAATTACTGACGTCTTCTGTACATCGAGTAAAAGCAGTCTCAGAGCAACAGCACGAATATACTCACAGTTTAAAAGATTTGTTAAATAAATACCACTATTTACAACTCCAACAGATTATTGGCATCCAAAACACGTGCACTTTCTTCCACAGATGGACCTACTCTTAACGACTTTACTGGCTGCTTTTTGTCTTCAAACTGCCTTCCTTTGGTTTAAGATTTTACATGAAACACCCGGAGCAACTTGCACACCTCTAACGCGTCACACTGACCACTGAGAGTTCGTGCAGCTCTGATGATTCTGGCAAAAGCAAAACGACCTCACCCTCTGCAGCACAGCTTCGGCTTACAAGTGGAAACTGGTTGCTCAAGACCTCTCTATAAGCAGCAAAAAGAAAGAGGTGGAACAATCTGCCCGTGGGAGCAGACTGTTGATCCATGGTGTAAAGACCCAAACATGCCGTCAGTTAACAGTGGGTATGACGAAGCGGAGAGGTCTGCCTTGAGAACTTAAGCAGCAGGGCCACTTTGCATCTTCAGAAACTGCAACTCCTGGTATCAGATCACATCTCCAAGATCTCCTTCCCTGTGAAACATGGTATCTTTCATAACCATATTCAGTTCTCCCCTGACAACCAACTGATGTCACAAGGAGCAATGTCAGAAGACTGCCATGTCACCACTCTGATTTCCTTCAAGTGTCCTCTCCTGTACACACCCATTTATTTTTAGAGTCATTGAAAGAAAACCCAATCTCCCTCCACCTTTTCCAGAGGGTATACATGAGCATAAACATCACCAAAGCGTAAATGATATTAATCTTATTTCGATCTGTACATTAACAAGCCTGCTCAATATCAACCTTGGGACAGAATTAATGTGTGTGTTCACAACTATCTAGTTTCAGCATCTCCTACTCCATGAATATGAGAGTCTCTGTGCTTGAAAAACAAGCTTTTATTTTATAAAATACTACAAATCGGCAGTTTTTCCCACCAACATTTTTGGCTATGCACAACTAGTCAGATACCCACTAGCCAGATATTACTGATGTGAAAAAACTGTCCTCCCAGTCTCATTTGGTTAAAAAAATATTTGAAAGCCAGAAGAAAAAACATCTTTACACAAGAGACATGTAAAGAGATAGAAAGAAACAAAGCTTCTTTCCTGACAAAAGTTTTCAAATATTCTTCTGCTTTTTGAGATTAGAATCCGTAACAGCAGCATTTAAACTTTGAAAATGACTGTTTCCCTTATAGCCATTTCCTAGCTCAGTAAATAGAAGCGGAGGAAAAAGATGCACTTTAAGACAGATTATTTCAAACAGCAAAGCACTGTCTGGCATACTGGTGCTTGGGAAAGCACCAACGACTCTTAAAGAAAAAAACTTCCTGGACAGAGGATAAATGTGTTCTTACACTTGTTCTTTAGGATCCCACAAATACTAAGCTATCAGTCAGCAGCCTGTGATTACACAGTTGTTAAAGAAGAGCCTGCAGCATAGATAAAGGAAGGCTTTGGGCAGCACACCGTCACCACTGGGTTGAATACAACGTACACCCAAAGGTGTAAGGGTGCAGCTCTGCGGCAGTCAATTCAAGTGCAAGAAACAATCCCCTTCCCTGAATGGCAACTGCGTGTTCCTGCCCTTTTCCCTGTACTGAGGGATGAGAGGATCCAGTCGAGGAACTGCACTGGTGCTTTTTCTTCCCCTTCCCCAGCCAGGTTAATTACCCGGTTCAGTTTAACGTGCGGTCACTGTGGCAGCAGTCACAGCATAACAGCTATGGCGAGAGCCAAAAGCGCAGCAGTACCGCTTGCACCAACTGCGGTGGCTCTGGAACACATCTCGCGTCCAACGGCAACACGCCCTGCCTGAACGGTTACAAACTGAGCAGACAATAAGGTTTCTTCGGTTCGCATGAAAGTATTATCCTGCCACCACAAGGGTCAGTCAACAAATGCTGAAACACAAGAGCTGGTTGACGTTTCAACGTTGACTGGAGGGAGCCGTTACTGTGTAGTGTAGAAAGACTGTTCTGCTTTGACTAACACCCTCCTGTAATGAGTCGTTCCCTGTACACGGTGTATCGGCTCTGAATTCCCCTCCACACAGTTTAGGAGGGACACAAAGAGCAAACACATTAGATCAGAAGCTTTAAATGTATTTTGCTCTGCATTGATGAATTTATACAGCCCACTGCCTCCCTCTCCGCTCTCAAATGTAATCCACCAACCCTCCTGATTCCTCCTCAGGACACCTTTACCCAGATTAACTTATCTTTGCACACTGGCTTTCTGCAAAGTGCTGTCACAGAACACACACAGAACTTGTGTTAGTGTCACACTTGTGTTTGAAGTGAACCTATCAAAGCCACTTGAACAGTTTTGAAACAGCACTTTGTAGCACGAAGGCAACATTTAAAAGCTGAGAGAAGACACTCAGACGTCAGATTTATTGGATTGTATTTGGATGACAAACCTCATGTTATTTCTTTCTAGATATTACGTTTCCATTAAGCCCCCCAATTACTATGGGCAACCCTATAAGATTAAAGGCTAAAGCACCACTGATGAACTGTGAGCACTGAATTCAGTCACCGATAAAGATTAACATACAAATCACATTACATATATATAGCCTGATTTAAATAGTTATTTTTTTTTTTCATGTAACTACCAGATGCCAACTACTCTGGTTCCAGAGAAGCAAGCAAAAACTTGAAAAACATGCTTCACAAAACTATGACAAAGCATTTAAAGAAAATTATGTATGCATAAAGGTAGTAAAAAAAAAACCCAAACCAAACTACATTCTTTATTATACTTTAGAGAAACATAAAACACCAAATAAGTCAAATATAAGACACTGTAAATTACACACAGAAGGAGAGATGGTCAATAAATAACTGACAATTTTTTTTTTAATTTTTAAATTAATCAATCACTTGCTGAGGTTGGTCAGCACACCGGAATTGCTTATCTCTTTGCTAGGCTGAGAAGCAAACAGACTGAATCAGGAGGAAGATTTCGCATAAATATAGGGGAAAAACGGACAAAACGCCTCAGAGAAAGTTATCCATATTTAATCCAAGCACGCACGCTCTGTAAGAGTGACTTCCCAGCAGGAAGGGCAGCCCTACGTGTGCAGCTGCCCCTGGATACCGCGGCAGTTCCTCATCGCTCCTGCTCCCCCGCTCCCCCGGCCCTGCCGCACACGGACACCGCGAGCAGCGAACCCC